TGCGGCTGCTGCGGCCTGTCGGATCCCCGGGCGGCCAGGGGGGGACATGGTCCCCTCACTCGCCCCTTGCTGGCGGCCATGAAGAGGCAGAACGTGCGGACCCTGTCCCTCATCATCTGCACGTTCACCTACCTGCTGGTCGGGGCTGCCGTCTTTGATGCCCTGGAGTCCGACAACGAGATGCGGGAGGAGGAGAAACTCAAAGCCGAGGAGATCCGGCTCAAAGGAAAGTACAACATCACCAGCGAGGACTACCGGCAGCTGGAGTTGGTGATCATGCAGTCCGAGCCGCACCGGGCCGGCGTCCAGTGGAAATTCGCCGGCTCCTTCTACTTTGCCATCACGGTCATCACCACCATCGGTGAGTGTCTCGCCTCGGGGAGGCCCTCTGGGGCCAGGGCCAGGGCTGGGGCAGAAGCCCCCCCTGGTTGGGAGAAAGGGAGAGGGGCAGGGGAGCCGTGGCTTGCGAGGGGTTAAGAGCCCGATGAGTTTTTTGGCTTCCCTCCCGCGTTATGTAATTCATCGCTCTTCACTGGCACTTGTTGGACTTGGCGGTGTCCCGCACCTCTTCCCCTGGAGATGGGGAGTGCGTCCCCTGGGTGGGACTGGGGAGGAGTGGGGCTGGCCTGGTGGGGGGAATGGCACTGGCCGCGTGGCTACCACTGAGCTGTGGCTTGGGTGGCAAGGAGGAGGGGGGACAAAGCAGAGTGACCCTCTCCTGACGTTCCCTTCAGGAAGAAGGAGGCCCCATTGTCATGTTTCTTCTTGCACCTTTGCTTAAGTGACACGGGGAAAACTTAGGCAAAAGGCGGTTGGATGAGGATGAAGACAGTGAGGGCATGGGAACTGGATCGGCTGGAAAAGCCCTTGATGTAGCCAAGCATAGCCCTGCTTTCGCAAACTTTGTTTTGGCGTTGGCGAGGGCTGTGGTGGGGGTTCCCACAGCTGTGGTCCCACCACCGGGCCTCTCCTGGGCATTCCCAATGTGTTCCCGAAGTTTTTATTGCAGCTGGAGTGTCTGATGTGCCAACAGGTCACACTCTGCATCTCCTCTTTCTGGGCACACGGTCGGACAGGCAAAACGATGCCTGCTGTCACATCCATGCTGCCCGGCTTCCCAGACGTGCCATTTCCCAGGACGGTCAAGGGGATAGTCAGTGGACACGGCCACAGGCTGTCACTTTGTAATTCTCCGCTTCCCACAGCTGAAGCGGAGTGTTCCGCGTAAAGTTTGGTTCCCTGCCGTAAAAATAAATACCACGATAACTAGAGGCTGCGGAGTGCACACAGAACTGTGCTACAACTCTGGCTTTGGCTTGATAAGCAGGTTTGTTCTTGCCAATTTTGTGTTCATTAAGGTGGATTTACTGAGGCAGTTGGTAACGTTCTTCTCCCAGCACTTCTAGATGCTCCCCCCTAACATCTGGGGAGATCTGAAAAGACCCTCTAGCTCAGTGGCTGTTTGGTAGTGCATTATATTGAACAGGACACGAAAGACTAGCTCTCTTATTAATCCAGAAGGACTCAGTCTTTTTACCGTTTAGGGCTTGTTACAAGAAATTTGCACATTGCCACCTGAAGATACTGACAGTTTTCAGCAGGACGGGCTGTCCACTGCCCTTTAAGCAGTGTCTACTTACATTTGTATTTGACTATATTATACCTGGGGCAGTAAAAAATTTCCTTTGAAAGACCATCTAACAGTATAAAGCCCATTTGCCCTTACAAAGATAAGATTTATCAGGATAATTTCCTCTTCTGTTATTAGATATAATTATGTAAAATTCATATGGTAATAGCCTATAGAATATAAAGTAGACTGTAACTTTGGCTGATGACTTAGATTTCCTGCTGTTTGTTGCGATGTCAGAACTCTCCTTTCCCCTTTGGTCACTGATTCTCTCTTCCTCGATCTGTCTCTTGTCATTTATTTGTGCTAAGTGAATACTGGACTGGTGTGCCCCTCTGGATTACAGCAAGGCTTCCACGCACACGCCTGTGTACTCACGCTGCCCTATATTCCCGCCTAAGAGGTGGCTGCAATACTTTCTGCATTCTTAAGCTCAGTCGGTGACAGGTAGAAAGGGCTGTTTTTACAATAGCTGCTGTTTGATTATATTTTACCTGCAAACATGTATAACGTGCTTGGGAAGCTTTAGCATTTTCTCCTGCAAAGAGCTGGGATTTGTTTGGGAAGCTCGGAGCACCTCAGCGTGCAGAGGCTAGCGTGCATTTCTGTAGGCAGAGGCGCTTTGGAGTGTCAGAATTGTTTAAATTAAAAATGTGTATAGCAACGAGGAGCCACTGAGAGGAAGAGTGATAATAAAGAATGGGGCAGAAAGAGAGACGTTCTTTAATGATTGTTCATTTGGGAAACTCTGCTCCAGGAGGATATGTGATCTGTCTTTCAAAACTTTATTAACAGTTACTATCTGCATCTTGCCAAATGCACTTCTATTTTGTGTATCGTCTCTTCAGAACTAAAGTAGCTTTGTGATGTTATCTGATCTACTGGTAGTCTGTAAAAGTGAGCATGGCAAGGCTTTCTTTAATTTCTTATATATCCTAAAATAATTTGTTTCACAGAGGAAGAATTACATTCTATGTGTAAGTTTTCAGGGAAATAAGGGGTTTCTTCTCTCTGTGTTTCTTGTGCAGGGCAGTGATCGGGAATGTTCATACTAATTTTTCGTGATGGTTCTTATTTTAAATCTGACTGTGTGTACACTCTCACATACATTTCCTGCTCCCTGTGAAACCTCCCAGACTTTAAGAAACACATGCAGTGGTGTATGCATTAGCGAACGTGCTGTAGTCAGTTGGTGCTCCCGCAAAAGTGCATTCAACTAACCGTCGCAGGCTGACTTTTAAAACAGACTTGAATAAAACCCTTCCCTGCCTAAGCTAGAGTGGTACATCTGTCTTCACAAAACTTCTCTTCAGAGAAGCGCGATAGGAATCTGCGGATCACAAGGTCCAGCAATATGCCTATGGCAGCAGACTCATCCGTGTCTAACTTAATTGTTCTCCTTGATACTGCCGTGCTAGCAACATGTCTGAAGCGATTACCGATTCACTGCCTTGATTTAAACTACTGTGGCTTTAATTTAATCAAAGGCGTTTCTGGCTGGCCCCGGACCAGGAGCCCGCGGCGAGCGGTAGCCCGGCCGAGCCCGTGGTGCTGAAGGGACAGCTCCTGCCGAGCCCGTGGTGCTGAAGGGACAGCTCCGGCCGCCGGCCCTGCCCCCGCTGCCCGGGCACCCTCCGCGCGGGCCGCTCCCGGGGAAAACACACCTCGACAGACCTGGCTGGAAGGCAGGATGGAAAACTGAAAGCCTCCCGTGCGAGACTGGGTCAACTCCCACATTTCCTCCAGCCTGTGGCATTTGGCTTTCATCAGAGGGTGGTCGGGGGTTGTTGCTCGCTTGTCAGGCTGAGTACTAAAACAAAGAAGCGACGGTTGATCCACTAAATGGAAACTTTTTTTTTTTTTTCTTTTTTTTTCACCAGGGACACAACATTTTTTTTTCTGCCCCACAGGTGCAATGTTGTTTTTTCCTCTGTTATTTTTAACTGACCCAACAGAAACAAAAAACCAATAACCTGAAACCAACCACAGGTGCTATGACATTCAGTGAGTCTGCTCCTAAAATCCATCAGCAGAAGAAAATACCCAGCTTTCACAAAGTTTTGGTCATGTTTGAATTCTGTGGAAGTTTTTAGGTGATAAAAAAGAACTAATAAGCTGTTCTTGGCTCTCACTAGTTGCTGAGTTTATTTCGTGATTGTTCTCACTTCAGAGTTAGCTAGTACAATTTCCTATCCATTTCCAGTTACAAAGCCATTTCCAGTTACACAGTCAAAATGATGACAGAGTGATTTAATCAAGTTCTTTATCCAGGTACTTGTCTTTTATGAGATACGCTCTAGAATACACCACAGAGTTCATCAAGAGGCTGGATACAATGAATGAAAACACCAACTTTTGAAAAGAAAAGGTAATTCCTAGTATTCCTACTAAGTTTTAATGCCCTTTTCTACAGGTTTATAAGAGTGAGTAAACTGCTTTTATGTAAGCAGGTGTCAACACTGTCAAAATGTGTTATTGGTATGGATATCGCTCCATCATTTAGGCCTTAAAGGGTGATAGTCATACTTGATTTAACACCACCGAGCTCTAGTAAACACTGAATATTTCTGGAGGCTTGTGCAGAATGTAAAGAACTGAAAGCTGTTTATGTCACCCTAAAATGAACTGAAACAACAAACAGATTGAGTATTTTTATTTATTTATTTTTTTTCCTGAGAAGTGACTGTAAGGGGAGCAAAATTAAGACAGTGTGTGCTGTGAATTGCTAGTCTCTTTTTCTTGCTTTTAGGCCTTTGGTTTCAGTTTCAAACCTACTACAAGTAGTGACTTAACGTCCTGGTGAACATAGACAAAATATTCTTGAAGAATGTGGTGCAGTACCTGTAATGGTGAATGGAATATCCACCTATTGATAGACGTTTGGCTACTGAGAACCTAAAGATGTGGGAACTGTCTACATCCAGATGAGGGGATGGGATACTTCTGTCAGACGGTGGCCTGACAGGGAGTTTGAACCTGTATTTGAACCTGTTTGAACTAAGCAAACACATGCTTAAATCCATTTCAGGATAGTAGTTGAGTCACTGTATCCTTTCTCTGTATCACTTTACCCTTCTGTAAAATGGTTTTAAAAATACCAAGCTGGTAGTGTTGCAATATCTCTATTTGAGTTAGAAAAAGACGTAAGTGTTTTCATGTGTGAATTTGTTTGTCAGTATTGCTCCTCCTTTAAGACCAGCCTCTCTGGTGTTTTGAGTCAGCTCTTGGTTTTTGATGGATGGTAATATTTAAAGGCAGTCCACTGAAAAGCTTTGAGTAGGGAATCATGGCAGATGGACAATTTTCAATGGAAAGAAAGAAATGAAAGAAAGAAAACAAGACACGAAAGAGGGAAGATAGAGAAAAAAAGACACCAGTGCTTTGGTCAATTAACTGCTGCATTTATGACTTGCCAGGACCATGAAGGTCATATCTCATATAAAAAAAAAAACCAAACCCAAAAACAAACCAAACAAGCACAGAGTAGATTAAAGCCAGTCTGTTATTAATAAACTCAGATGAAAGTAGAGAGCAAGATTTTCTGGTGATACGAATGCTTGTAGATGCACCGGGGTAATGAATCTATTCATTGACACCATCTGAAGCTTCAGCGGAGAATACTGGGTGATCACAACCTGTTGGGATCATCTTCCAGGCAAGGAGGAAGTCAACTTCAGCGAGCCACATGAAGATAAACTGCATGTAGGATTTTTCTCCCCTGCATAAATAAA